GCTTAATCTTCAATGTATCTTTGTTATTCAGTGGATGTGAACTGTAGAGGTTTTGATTTTTGCCCCATTTCTTGCAGCCATCGAAACAACTCGTTGAAGTACCATGTGCACTGCCAAATTCAATTCCTGTAATTGCGTACGATTGTCCATCGCTTGAGAAGATGCTGCGGCTCATGAAGGAACAAAAACCGTTCATAATAAAAGGAATTGTCAATAAATGGCAAGCGTTTGAGAAGTGGAAGTATGACATTTTAAAAGTGCTGATATTCTCTTCATCCTTTTATTCATTCTTTCTTGAAGTCAGTTGTAAAAGAGATATTAACAGACAAAAGAGATGTTTTTGTGAGTTTCAGTTGTGGTAATGGTAAGAAATGTATACGACTTAATGGACCAAAACACTTCTTAAATATTATAATAGTCTCACAAGTTTTTTTAATTTTCATTTCTCACCTCCTTTTCTTTTTTTCTCTTTATTTCATTCCTTATTATTATAACTTTCTCTTTTGGTTTCTCTTATAGTGTTCATTTTAGTTACTTTATGGTTTCACTGTAATTCATGACGTGCTTCTTTAGCTTTAGAGCTAGAAATTTTTCCAAATGGCTTGATCAGTGCTGCATAATCTAGTGGTCAGCTTATGGACAATCCCAGCTTTGATTCTGTTCGTCGTTGAGGGATTATTAGCTTAGTGATACTCTCAGCGGATGCACCTTAGCAAGCTTACAACCGTTTCGAGAGGTTGTTGGTATTACTGGGCATCATCACCTCCTATTTCAAAAACTTTGCCACGTCTAGACTGCGGTGAGGACATTACCAACTGGGGATTTTCAGTGATTGATGCTTCCGCAGTTGCAAATTTTAAAAAGTTTTCGTTTAAATCGTTTTTTTCGGTAAGTGGTATGGTCATTGTCTTCGTTTTATTTAAGTGTTGTAGAAATTTTAGGGGGATACAAACAATGAATATTCCTGGCTAGGAGACTGGAAGGAGAGGGGGGCCTGAAATCGTCTGTGTGTTAACCTATGCATTTTTTTTTGACGTTCGTGGCCCACAGTGGAGAGAAACACAAACAGATTTTGATAATTAATGAAATCACTGGAAGTGCTCTTATTAATTGTTGAAATAAGCAAGCCTATTTAGGTCTCTTAAATAAGCCAGCCTATGTGTGCAGTGAATTGGTAGCATGTCTGTGTTTCATCCCTGAGCTGTAAACACAGACGGCAGAATCGGTGCGGAATGGGATGGGAATCATCAGTACAGTTCCTTATGCCTTCATGTTAAAAGGAATTTGTTAATTACCTTATTCAAGTTTTTCCGTATTTATTCAACTCTACCACTGAACTTTTTAGAATATTTTTAGTTGCTTTGTTGAGCTTCTCATGCATTTATGATTTTCTAGCATTTCATATATCAATGATGTTGCTGGATATCGCACAGTGCCAGTTGAAGTTGGAACTAGCTATGCCGACAGTAGCTGTAAACAAATATTGATGTCAGTTCGCGATTTTATTGAAAAATTTGTTGAAAATGAGGTAAGTCCCATCTCCGGCAATAATTTTTTTTCGGAAACTTAACTTGGTAAAGGAAATCGGATTGGCGTATGAATTCTCCAGCTCGGAGACTTGCATCGTCCGCTATTTTTTTAAAATTTTAGAAAATAATATTTTTGAAAACGTTTATTTCATTTGTTAAAATCAAAAGTCAG